TATATGTATATATATATATATATATACATATATGTATATATATATATATATATATATACATTTTTTTTTCTTGGTTTGAATAAACTGTTATTTCGCTTCCAAGATCTTGTGTAGTGTTTGCCTTTTACATATATTAAATTATTATTACTTATCATCAAGATTAATTTGTTTTCTGTTGAAGCCTTATTGAAGTTTTATTAACAAGAAAAGATATAATCAAATGCAAATATTTAAAAATATTTACTTGTAAGTGCAGCCGTATAATTTTTTCCAGTATACCAGATTTTTCCATAATAACGTTTTCGTATTCATCATGTAGTACATTTTGAAGTTGCGTCAGTAAATGCTTTTCTGTCAGTAACTTTTTATATCATCTTTATGTATTTTTTTTTTTCAAAAAGATCGTTGAATATACAAATTGTCAAAAATGTTAATTTAATCGAACATGGTAAATCGTTAATTTAACTTTCTTAAAATCAAACGAGATGTAATTTATTATAAACATAAGAAAAGAAAGCGTAACAGACAGAGTCCTGAGGACGAGATCCGAAGAACATTTTGAAGTAAAAAATGCAGTGAACTGTAAATAATAATTTTATTGAAATGTTTGTATTAAAAAATCCATATTTCATATTTAATAACTTTATATTATAGGTTTGTTCCTTTACATATAATAATTTTACGATAAAAATAATTATAATTACATATCTGTCTTGCAATTGTTGTATAATATTTCAATAAAATGGATTTTAATTCAAATTGTAAAAGTCAGAGTTACCATTTTCCAAATTAATCAAAATTAGCAAGCAGTATTTTTTAGAAAGTTTTTTAACTCATTTCTATTATGCGTAAACGCATATCTGTTATTAAATATTGATTTTTACAGCTCTGCAGCATTTATTATTTTGATTTTTTTCTGCTCTTCTGACATACAATACAATCTCAATTTCTCTTGTATATACTACATATATATTGTATACATTTTAATAATTGCACGTTAATAAGTTTATAGTAAAATTTAATTGTTATAATTTAATCATTACGTGCAAATTATTTAACTTTTTATTTTAATTAAAATTGTAATCTACTTTATACACATATACCGGGAATATCCACTTCTAATAAGATACTTTTAATAATATTTAATCGCTTAGATCAATACGGATATATGATATATTAATTTTTTAAATTGTAATCTGCATGATTAATATTTTTAATAAGAATCAAACGATGGCTGACGTATCAGTCATCTTGTTGTTTATAATGATATATTATCACTGTTGTTACTAATAATTTCTTATTTTCTAATTTAATGTATATGTCATTTATTAATGAAAATTCTGAACTTTAATATTTATGTTTAAATATTAACTAAAAATGATATTTAATATAATAATAATATATTGGTTTAATGTAATAATATTTTACTTTAAGTAATGTAAAATATTTAAACATATGTTGTTTATTATTTGGTCTAAAATTAGACAGACAATAATCATGACACGATGGCAAGAACTTGAAATAACTTCATTTAAGTAATTTTAATTTTCTTTTTTTAAATAATATCTACGATTAAAAATAAGTCTAATATTTTCTAAGCATAGATGCCGTCATTTTTTTATTAATTATTCCTTACTGCTAACCATAAATTAATATTGGTTTCATTACCGCGTAGAATATATTACAGTAAAATAAGATACCGAGGCCTTCATTAGCTGTAAATATAAATATTTCTTCTTATCTCACATATTATTGTACATATATTATTAAAATATATAATTTTTTATGTGTATTTTATTAAAAAATGTTTCTACATTATATTACCGTAGCAAAGTGTTCTACGGATCCTTCAAATATTCCACCGACGCTTAAAACGAATTTTTTGGTATTCCTTTGCAATAAAAATAATATTACTTTTTGTATATGTAATGGCATTCTATACCATTGAACGTTGTACCTACGGATTTGAATATATGTAAATAACATACATCATCAACTCAAGATAGGAATTTTTTATTAAATACAGTGAAACTTTCCTAACTTCAGTACTTTGTAATTTCCTTCCATATATGTATATACATGATGTATATAAAAATGTTCATTGTAAAATAGGTTATGTTACTTTGGCGTCTGCGCATTCTACATGCTGGCGTCTTCTCATTCTATTTGTAATATACTATAATGTAATATGCTATTTCTTCTTAATGCTGTGCCCCTAATGAAGAATGAGGAAATCTTTAGCTCACAGCTTCGCGTAGTAGAAGTTATGAAAGTGCCACTGTATAAATTTCAGCATACAGGATATCAAGTATTGTAAGAAATTTTGAGAGATGATTTCTCACACAAATTCAAGATGAAAACTTCATATAATATATTCGAAACGGCTTAGTTTCAAAGATATAGGATATCAAAGTTGAAAAAAAAAATTTGTTTTTTCTAAAAATTTTGATAACTACTTGAGGTATTTTAATAAAACTTTGTGTATACGTTTAAAGATGCATGGAAATAATCCAAATGGTTTTAGAAATTTTTAGTAAAACCAGTAAAATTTTTTTTTCAACTCTTGGATATATATTCTGTATTTTTTATATTAAGCTATTTCGGATATATGATCATACAAAATTTTCGACTTAAATTTGTGTGAGGAATTACCTTTTAGAACTCTCTTAGTAAAGTACTCTCCTGTAAAGTATTATAATTTAAAATGCAGGAGATTCTATGTTTACTATGGTATCTGGAAAGAGGATATTTATACGTAATTTCTTATAAAAATATTTCTCTTACGCAGTAAAAAATACATGATTATTGTGGTCTATTATATTCTGTCCCATATAATTGGCTAGAAACATATACAGACTGCTTATAACCATATACATAATCAATAGAAAAAATTCGTTGAAATTATTTTTAGATGATGCTATCTGAAAAACCTAATAAATGAATTTCAATGAAATTACGATCTCATATTTATACATATACATGTATATTGTATAATATATATAATTCATTAATGTATATAATGCATTATATATACGAGTATATACACACACACACACACACACACACACACACACACACACACACACACACACACGTTATAGATACTACTTATGAATAGGTTAAGTTAATAAGTTTTGTTTATTATTACAGTTAATTGCAGGATTAATTGATATAGAAATGAATATACATATATAAAATTGCTATAAAATGTTAACTATACGCAAATTAATACGTACATTTTGTTTTTGTACAAATAGGGAAAAGACGAATAAGAGTATGCATTTTTGACTAAACAAAAATCTTACTTTTTTAAAAAACAAGTCAGATATCTTGTAAGTATAATGATTATATTGATACTAGATAATTTTATATATATATATGTGTGTATATGTGTGTATAATTATCTATAATACAGAAAAATGTATATTAGGAACAAATATCTGATAGGAATTTTAGCAATAAAAATAGGTACGCATGATGTCTGGAGAAATATTCAACTCAAAATTTAATGATGTCACATATTCCTTCTTCATAATTGGAAACCTCATGCCATCACTGATTACAAATTTCATATACATTGTAATCATTCTCAAAATTTTCACCGCATCCATAACAAAGGGTTTTAAAAACGAAGAAATTTTTATTTAATAAATCTCTAAAACTCTTTTGAGAAAATAGTGTTTTGCTCATATCATGTCTTGCTGTATGCATATGTACATATGTATATAAAAAAACAATTAAAAAAGAAGGAAAATAAGTATTTTTAAATTTTAGTATAATTTAGTATCTTTTAACTAATAATAAAAGTGTGAGAAATTTTTTATTGACAATAAAATGTTTAAATTCTGAAAATAAAAAGAATTATAATAATAATTATTGAAGTTAACTTATATTTTTTAAAAATATAAAATATCTTTAATTGTCCGAGGTAATCAAATTTAATTATAATACATATATAATAATAAATTTTTTACAATACATATTGAATGAATTTCCATAACATAATGATGTTAGCTGAATCTTACTTATATCTATACTGAGATATTATATAATCATGCGTATTCACGATGCACACTCTGAACCCACCACCCTTATTCTATATAAAAATTGTTCCGAAACATAGATTTGCAATAATTTATATTAAATTTAATAATAAAACTTCAGCAGATTAGCATATAAATGTACATGCAACGTTACTGTATTCTATAATAGAATACATTTTTGTATTATTATTATTATTATTGTTTTCATTACATCTACAGATATGTACAATGTTTGTCATTTCTCACTATCACTTATTGACTTTTATTGAAGATTTATAAGTATGATATTTTGATTTAAAGATTCTTATCATATTTTAGATCGTATTTAGATATAACAAATAATAATAATAATAATATATACTTTTCATGAAATTCTTATATATTGTTATACGAAACTGGAAACTTACTTGATACAAATTGAGGCTAAAGCAAACAACTACTCCTACAGTGAAAGAAAGTATCATTATTTCGAATATGGACACTAACTGCTTAGATAACCTTCATAAACACATTATAAATACATTATTTAAAAAATAATAAAAATATCATTAAAGCTCCTGCTTACTCACTGTAATCATCTTGAATTGTGATGTCAGAAGCGAAAAAAATATATAAAGGAAATTTTTGCAAAGTATATTAAAATGTGAGCACTTCTTTACAACAACACTTGCAATCATTAGAGTAGATCATAAAATATACCGAAAACTTCCCTTGTGTTCGAAATAACTATATAATATTTCAAATTAAATTACAATTCAAATTAAATTATTAATATCTAATCAAACAAGCTATATATGACAGATGTCAAATTGAGATAAATATGATTTGATTATATTTCGAAAAGGAGACTTTTCAGTATATTTTACAAGTGTACTCTATCAAATGCAAATATTGTTTTATTGAACAAAATTTCTATATATTTTTTACAAGAATTTTTATTATATATTTTCTCTCTTTTGCGTCAATCCAAATATCCGTAGTGAGTGATCAGAAGCCTAAAACTGATTCTATATTAATCTCATCATAGCGTTGCAAGAATTGTTGTTCAATCAATGTCAAAATATTGCCATTCTAATTGGATGATAATGCTTACAACGCTTACGACACTACGGCATTACTAATGCAGAATCAGCATTAAGTGATTATTGTGGTACATATATTGTATAAATACTGTTGATGTAAATACGAACTTCATAGCTTGACGATGAATATCTATAGCACAAATTATACTCTTGATCATGAAAACTTTATCTTCTGACGTAATATTTTTGGTATTAATATTTATTGCATGTTTAATACGATAACTGTAAATATTGGATTCTAATTATATAGCAACTTATTAAAGATACAATTTTTTAAAAGCAAAATCTCCACAAAAATTTTTTTAATATACTGTATGTATAAAAATAACTAATAATATAAAATAACTAATATAAAATAACTAATATAATAATCGAACTGTTACAAAAACTGTTCATTTCTCTCATTCATCTATATTCCTACCTAGCAATTTTAAACATTCCACAAGTATGTTGAAGATATGAGATGAGCATTGTACCTGTTGCTATCATTATAGTCATTCCAACGCATAATACTCCGTACATATGCAATAGCATCCAATAGAAATACTTTTCTTGATTAACAAAATACTCTGTCAGAATGAATAAATGATGTGGTTGAGACATGTTCATTGATATATTAACAGCTATAAATGACCAAATTTGAGTTATAATAGTAATAAACAATCCACAAATTCCAAAAACTAAAAAAGAAAAACGAATTTGTTATTGAAATTCTTAGTATATAAAATCATTGTGTGTGTGTGTGTGTGTGTGTGTGCGCGTGTGCTTGCGTGCGTGCGTGCGTGCGTGCGTGCGTATATGTACACTGAAAAAAAATATAATCAATTTTAATAAATATTTAATTGAATACCGCCAACTAAATATTTATTAAATATAAAGATATATGTATTTGATACAAGAAATGTTAATTTGATTTAACAATCATTTTTTTTATTGAACAAGTATTTACTTATTAAGTTGGTAGTCAACTAAATATTTATTAAAATTAAGGATATTTTTTTCTCAGTATACATTTATATATATTGTATGCACAAATTATAATAAATAATTTTTAATTTTTTTATTGAATATGAAATCGAATTTTACTACAAAATTAATAGCTATTTTATTTTACATATTCTTTGTTTTAAAAATTTTTTGGAATAAGACTTTATTGTAAAATTGATAATTATTTTTTATATTTTATTTGATTATTAAATACATATGAATTCATTATAGATGCACATCATGACAAATATTTTAATTTAATACATTCATATAATAAATCATATGTAAATGTTTTTATAAAGAAATACGATAAAATTTACTGATAAAACCTAATATCGTTTTTTATATATACTTTAAATATTAAATATTAAATTCTATGTATACTTTAAAGTTTAAATATTTAACTGAAAATATAATTATATAATTAATAAATATTGTCTTACCCAAAAGCGTAACAGTGTAACGTTTGGCAATGCAATTATATTTATATATAATAGCAATTTCATTTTTATCCTTTAAATCATCGAATATATATCGAAGCTCTTTCAATAAATTCTTCACCTGTCATTTTATCAATTTTCTATTGTATATATCTTTTTATTGTATTTATTGTATCTATTGTATTATGTCTATTGTATATATCTTTGCATATATCATAAATACTTTGTGCTATAAAAATTTATTCGATACACAAGTTAATTCTATTTAATATACAGGGATGACCCAAATCAATCGCACGGGACGGCATACATATTCCTCATCAAAAAGTAAGTCAATAGCAAAGTAGTGTGGTATCAATAGTTTTGAAACGCTGAGAAAATGTCTAACCATAGGGCATGAAATTCGCGTCGTCAGGAGCAGTGCAATTAAGCAGCCAACCGCACGAATGCTTTGATGGATATCGTTAAACGGCACGATACCGAATGAGTATTGCAAAGTTTTGTGAAATCTCTGTATTAACATTTACTGCAGTATTCTTAAATTAATTTTTTCTAATGTTGTTTGTAACAGAAAAAAAGTTTTGGTTTATCTGTCGATTAATATTTTTAATAAAAATGTTGAACATCTTCTAAGGCTCACTATTTAAAAACTATTGATACTGCAACATTTTGCTATTGATTGATTTTCGATTCACTTTTTATGAGGAATATGTATGTACCATTCTGTGCGGTTGATCTGAATCACCCTGTATACACTTGATAAGCTACCAACTTACAATTTCAATATTAAGATGGAATGCGTTATATTTTATTATGCACATTATGAAGAAAGATACGGAAGACATCACCTTTATTACAAGGTCTAAAGTACAATTTAGTATTATTAATGGTGTCAACTGCAAAAAGTTACTTTTACAATTTCATATATAAAGATGAGTTTAAAAAATGCAATAATTTCTCAAAAAGACATGTAT